GCCTTCTGACTCCGCTCTCTCTCATCTCTTCCCCGGGTCTCTGTCGGAGCAGCTGTCCTGTTTCTATGCGCTAAAACATCTGTTCACATCTGTTTACGTGCTGCTCCGCGCCATCACAGCTTCTTCTTTTTCCGCGGTGTGCTGCTGCTTCGGTCCGCCATCGCCACCTACAGGTCAGAAGTGTTTCCGACAGTTTATCTCAGGCGTCTCAAACTCCCTGCACAGGGGCCTCTTCCGGCCCGTGTCACCTCCAGTTCCGGACCATAGATTCATGTAAAAAATATAATGCTGTTTGGTCCTGCAAGTTCCTTTTTGTTAAGAGGATTTATTTGTTGTGGAGTGCAACAGTTCTAATGTGCACACAAGTGTCTGCATTAATATTGTGTTAAATGATAGAAGTGCTGACACCTGTGTGTCCAGAAACAGAGGACTAATGTGTCTGACTGTTAGTTCACTCAAAGGCTTCAGTTAATTAAGACTGAGGAAAAAAGATTTGCACTCACATTTGCAGTTTTTATTATTATGTAATATTTGAAATTAAACCTATAATGCCCTTTGTATCATGATCAACATGTGCCATAATTTCAAAATGTTATGGACAAAACTGTTTTTGTCTAAAATTAACATTGTTATTAACAAAAAGTAGCCATAAATGCCCAATGCATGAGATGCGATAAAAAATATATATAATAAAAATATATCATACACAACATGATGCAGCAGAAAAAAATGTGGATTTTGTTATAAGGGTTTATAAACATCTCAGTTCCAAAACATGAGAGTTTTCTGGTTATTTTTTGATGGGCCGGGTCTTACAGGGTTAAAAACAAACACTTTGTTCTCCTTGAACATTAAGGTGGCCCTCCAGTGCCCGCTCATTGAGTGTGAGACGCCTGGTTTAACTTCTTCTTTTTGTATTAGCACCGTCCACTGAGCCCAGTGAAGGTCCGAGAATCAGCAGCGTGATGGTGCCACAATAACAGTGTAACACTCACCTGTAGATTGATCAGCTCACCTGTGGGATCAAAGCTGGAAGCTCTCAGCTGAGACACCTGCCACGCTGCCCTGGATCTGCTCTGTTATTGGCTGCGTGTCTAACCCTGTGATCACTTCCTCCTTTTATGTTTCTTTGCCCCACTTTCTCCTGTTATTACATGAGTGTCTGACCTTTGACCCTGTGTTCCACTTTCTGTTTAAATTTCAGTTCTTTGAATTCTTACACTCGCTGACTGCCCCCTCCACCTCCACCTCCACCTGTACTCTGTCCTGTTAAAGTGCTCGTTTGGACCGAGTGAGACCACAGCAGGACGTTTCAGCTGAAGGAAGTGGGCGTTTAGACTGAACCAAAAAACCGCTGTCAGTGCCGCCTTATCAGCTGCTGTCTTCAAACACGGACCGTCTGCACCTCAGCAGCAGGTACAGGTGATGACCTGCCCGCAGCACACCTGCACACCCGAGTCAATTCAGACTTTTACTAAAATAAAGCCAGCAGAACTCCTTCCTTCATTTCCTTAGTCTGGCTTCCTGATGTCCATCCTCTCCACTCCTCCCACCTCCTCTCTCCTCCCTGCCCACCCCGTTGTAGGCTCCTCCCCCTCAGCCCCTGAGTGCAGGCTCAATTTGAAGTCAGACTTGCAGAGTTCAGCAGCGCATGTGAGCTGCACAGGTTTCAGATTCAGAAGAAGAAGGTGCAAAGGAAGGAGAGCAGTGCTGAGACCTGCGTGCATCCAATGTTCTGGATTTAACCCAAAGCATGAAGAAGACGTGGAGCTGGACGCTGCTGCTGCTGCTGGAGGGACTCTGCTGCTCAGGTCAGACTCACACTCACACTGACTAAACCAGTTAGATTACAGAATAG